TCACACATAAAATCGCACTATAATTGTCATCGCAAGAATATGAACAAAATTACTTACTCTTTGGTAACATTTTGCTCTGATTTTCCAGTTTTATCTTCCATGTTCTTCTCTAAAGCGTTTTTTTGCAAAATCACTCTACAATCACAAGGAAAAGAACCAAAATTATGCTTCATACAAAAATTGTACTAAAATCGTAATCAAATGAACAAAATTACTTACTCTTTATCAAAATGCTGCTGCGATTGTTTAATTTCATCTCGAATATCAGACATTTGAAGTAATTATGAAGTGTTTTGAAGCAATTTTGCAATAATTTGAAGAGAATTTCGTTCCGATTCGACGGTGTTGATGAGAGAGAAATTCTACAAAAATGAAGAAGATGGTTTTTAGAGAGAGAATAATTTGATATGGATAGTTTTTTTTTTTTACTGTGGTTAGTGGGGGTAGTTACTGTAGTTTGTGGGGGTAGGGGAAAAACGCAAAACGCTGCGTTTTGTAGGGGGTGTAGGTTATGGTACCTACACTAGGGTCTAGTGTATACTAATTACCTCTTAGGAGACTCAATGGGCTTACGCTTTGAGCGCTGGAATGCTAGATGTTGGTGGGCTTCATTGTGTCTTTTGTTTATGCTGGGCTTATATTCTTGTATCATGAGAGTTGTGGCGATTACTTATTACAGGGTATCCATTTATCCAAGGTATATTAACGACCCACCATATATGCTAACTTAAGGCCTATTTCGATTTATTGAAAACAACTGAGTTGAACTGAACTAAATTGATTGGGACTGAACTGAATTGAACTGAAATGAATTATATACGAGAGAAAGAAATTATGAAGTAAAGTTAACTGAATTAATCGAAGTTGAACTGAACTAAAATTAAGTTGAACAGAACAGACCTTTAGAATTAAATCTCGTTTATTATTTACAGAATATTATTTATGACTCTCTACATATAATCAAGACATAAGTAATGGGTATGCATCATATTGCCGGTAAGTTCACCCAATCGTTAAAATACTTGTTATTTAGCCAACATATTATGAACACCTAAATCCTTTTTTTTTCTTTCTTTTGTACATGAAAAAACAATCATCTTTTAGTTTGTTTTACTATAAAAGCTACATCAACTTTTTGGTGCAGCAGGGGTTACTCGAGTTATTTTGTTAGAAGTTATTCGAGGTATTCAGTCGGGGCTTATTCGAGTTACTCGATCATGGGTTACTTGAGGAGTTCGGACATGGGTTACTCGAGAGGTTCACTCAGTCAAGGGTTACTTGAGGGGTTACTCGATTAGGGGTTACTAAATCATGGGTTACTGTAGTTACCTTGGTTAGGGGTTATTTAAGGAGTCCGGTTAGAGATTGTTCGAGTAATCGTTAAGGGGTTGCTTAAGGAGTTCGGTCAAGGTTACTTGAGGGTTCAATTAGGGGTTACTTAAGGGGTTACTCGATCAAGGTTACTCGAGGGGTTCGGCCTGGTTATGGATTACTCGAGGGGTTACTCGGTCAAGAGTAACTCAAGTAACCCCTGGCCGAGTAATGTAACTTGAGTAACCCTAGCAACTCGAGTAACCCCAACAACTCGAGTAACCCATGACCAAGTAGCTCAATTAACCGTGTCGCACGGTACAATATCGCACACAAAAAATTGTGTAAAAGCTTATGAATTACATTTGAAATTAGTTATCATGAAAAAAATATAGGAGTTATTCCCCATTTCCTCTTATGCAACTTTTAGGAATTATCTTGACATAATTTGGTTGAAAATCTTTATTTTCCATAAATTTTTAATTTCTTTATTTTAGTTTTTTACTCCCTCCGTCTCCAAATCTTCGACCCTTTTGGGTTGATTTTGCGGTTATTAAGAAACTTTATTACCCGAGTAAAAAAGAAATAAAAATATATTGGAAAGATAAATTTACATGGGTTTTATAAAAGAGTAGAGAGATAAAGTATTAAAAATACATGGAAAAACAAAATTTTATATTGGGAAGCTAATTTTGCACAAATATTGTTGTAAATTGGTGGACATTTTAATGCAAATGGGTCGATTATTTGGGACTAAAATTAGACCAAAAGGGTTGAAATTTTGGAGATAGAGGGAGTATTTTTTTTTTTTGAAAGTTACACAATGACAAAGAAATCCATCTTTCTATCAAGATTAAGACGTATGGAGTACAATTTATTTGAACTACGGGGTAATAAAGTAGGAAAATGTATGGTGCATCTAAGAGGTTTATTTGTTGATGACTGTTCATTTTATATCATAACAAGATAACATAATCTGCAACACCGTTAGCTTTTTTCTTGTATGTATTAAGGACTTAAGGTCAACATAATCTCCAAGTATAAGTGGTGTATTGACCACACGTAGTCAAGCCGTTGCTATCCTGAGGTAAAAGGTGGAGTATTTATGTATGTATTATCAAAAAATTTCCTACTTTAATAATAGAGTTGTAGCTTTCTATATATGGTCATTCTCAACTTCTCATGATCATCAGCATTCAGCACAAACTTTATGTTGAATTCATCACTTAGACAAGCTTTGATTGGGTTTTCTACTGAATAATTTGAATAATTTGTGTTATTTTCTATTGAAAGACACTAAAATGGAATTTGTTATACAATGAATGAACAATAAATAAGCATGATAATTTTTTGGGCCCATACTTTTTCTAAAAATTGTATGATAACCTGGCCCATTTCATGCAATCTTTGCATGATTTATAAAATTGCATCATGTCAACCGAAAAATTTCCCACTTTATGAGGTTACCAATTTACGGTGAATTGAGGACCTAGAACGATTATTTTTTCCTTTGAATTATTTTGGTTTTATTTTTGTGAAAGACCTTCAAACTTTATTCATGAGAATGACAACATTTTATTCAAGACGGTGGATGTCTTACTTTTTTTTTTTTTTTTTTTTTTGAGAGAGAGGATGTCTTACATTTAATCATAGGTAGAAATAGAAAAAATAAATGCTTTTTTATGGCACATTCAAGTGTTTATTTTATTTTATTATTATTATTTTTTAAATAATAAATGAGTAAAAGAGTAACCTTACACTTCTAGTTATTCCCTCTTCCTTCAAAAAAAAAACCTAGTTTTTCCCAATGTCTCTATTTTTTGGTCCCATTGCAAATAAATAGGTCAAATTTCAAAAATTTTAACCATAAATTCTCATTAATCAATAAAGATAATATAGTCGTATGGGGTCTTGTTAGATTTGTCTCGTTGTATATTTTATTAATATCAAGTTTTTATAATCTTTACCCGTATGAAATTGGAGTTATATACGTTTTAAGAGGAATCTTCGAGATCGTGAAAAGTAAAAAAGAGCAAATAAATAGGGACAAATGGAATATATAGGAATAACCCTTAAAAATATTATTAATTAAAAATATGATCACAATTTAAGAAAAAGATTTAAAATTAATAAACCTAACAAAAAATCTAATCAATAAAAATAATGTTATTTTTTAAGTGATGAAAACAAGGTCAAATATAGCTTACAATTACTTGAGATAAGAGTTTAGAGCAGTTGACTAGCTCTATGACTTTCAGAAGGTTAGACCTAAGGTCATAAGGTCAACTCTCATGGTCTCACCTAACTTATTATAGTATACTTGTAGGACAGATTTCCCTAAAATCTCCACTCTAAGGAATTGGCCTTAATAATTATTAGTCCATATCTTGTATCATGGTAGTTTGGTTTAAGCCCCCAATATTCTAGGCAAGTCATAAGATTAACCTAATAGTATTGATTATAATACTTCCTTCTAAATGTATAATATGATTATGTGTAGAGATGACAATTTAGCAGGTCAGATACAACTACCCAATATCCAATGAAGCCAACTACACCCATACTAATTGTTGTACCAATACTGATTGCTTTAATTAACTAAAACAAGTACGGTATAAAGTCCACCAAAAATTATACCCATTTGTCATTCCTAATTTATCGTGCCGATTGATATGTAGATCGATGCTATTCTTAATAAGAATAATTTTTTTTTTTTTTTGTTTTTTATAACATAATAAGAATAAATCTATAATATTGTATAAGTCTTGCTAAGAAAGACCACCATTACTCGGAGATGCGCAACATATCCTAATCAATTTTGTTGATTTAAGGAGCCCACCACCTACCACATTAGTTGATTATTATTCATTTCAATGGTGTAGTTCCTTTCACCAATCCTAATCCTAGAATGAAGCCCAAATTTCTAAACTTAACAAAAGTACAAATAGGCCAAATTTTTATAGTTGTATAGGTATTTATAAATCGGCCTACACCAGAAAAGATACCTTAGCCTTTGTTTACTTCTTTATTTGGAATCTTTGATGTGATTGGATACCTTATCATCTACATTCTATACCCTACTTCCTACTAAATTATCTTAGCCTTACAATGCATATACCTCCATAATCAAGATGACAATATGAGAGAAGTTGTACCTCATAACATCTATCATGTCCGCTTTAATTTTGGGAAAATTCCAAAACTATCTTATGACAGTTTTATTTTATTTATTAAGAATTTTTTTTTAGTATAGTTAAATAAAACTTGTAAACCATATGCCACAAGCCTACAACCATATACTATACTTTGATCTAAGAGTGAGAGATAGCTCAAGTGGTAAGAGCTCCCCTTCCAGTCCTAGGTGATCCTGGGATCGATTCTCATCACTCGCCTTACTTAGCTTGTATATGAACTTAAGGAATATGCTTGAGCAGTTGAGCACAATTGTTTTAAACAAGTGAATGATAAAAGGTTAAAAACTTGGTCCCTTCAATTTGATTTAAATACAAGATTTTTTACTCACCTCTAAATTGTACATGAATAAATCGATTATATTTATTTATTATACAAAGTATATGTTGGGGACCTACCTATGTATTAAGTTATAAATAGTTAATAAAAATGTTTCTCAAAAAATAAAACTAAAAAAAGTTTATAAAATGAGGAGATTAGAGGAGAAAATATTAAACCTGCCATGTCCACTCTTGAAGACCATGCTTATCATTATCACCTGCTATATCAAAGCAATTCAAGTTTCCTGAGTAATTGTAGTAAATGTTGGCAGCTCCATATAACTTGGCAAATGTATCATTCCCTAATAATGGGTTGTCGATTGCTTTACAAATCTGCAATGTCAAGAAATTAGAAAGCATGCCAAAATAATACCAAGTTTAAAATAAGGGAAAAAGAAAATTAATTATGCAACAAACATGTCATGTTGGTTAAAAAAACATAACATATGGTTCGAACTAGAGTTGTTAAGTTCAAATAGAGTCTTAACGAAATATTACTTGTTTAACAGGAAATTCAGGTAAGGGGTTGAGAAAGTTAGAGGGAGTAGGATAGTCCGTCATAGCAGTATAAATATAAGCCGTGCTCAACCAACTCTCAATTTCATCCGCAGAAATAGTAATGTTCCTGTATATAATCAAAATTATTAATTAAATAGTCAATTTTCTCAATATATTATTTTGTCGTAAATTTTAATGTTTCTTCAAATTCATCTTACTTGCAAATGTTGAATGAAGACCTAAGCTTTTCCAACCCTCCGTTTTGCTTCGCGGTTTCTTCAATTTGTGTCCATGATTCTTTGATCACTTCATAACAATTTTCACTTTCACTCTGAAAGTTATGCAAGAATAATGTTACTTATAGTTACTAATCAAAGCAAAATCTAATTAGCATACTAATTAATTATTATTCTAGCCTTTCTGTTCTTATAAATATAAAAAAGAAAATGAATTATTCTAGATTCTCATATAAGTAAAAAAAAAAAAAATACAAAATTCCATATATAATGCAAGATTCCTCACAAATTTAAGCATACTTTTTTAGAAGAATAATTCTACCAAATGATTAGCCAATTGAATGCTTTTGACGTATGGGTCCAATGGGACCATTGTACCAATAGATTCATGTCAAATGTTTTTGTTTTTGTCTTTATTAGGCGGCTTTCACTAACTTGATGTAATTACCATTTTCTCGTATCGTATAATAATAATATAAAAATATCAAACAATAATAATTGTAATGTACTAATATTGCTTGGTGATTGATTCTATCATTTGAGACGGAAGATTCCTTAGTTTGTATCATTATGTGTGCATTTGTGAAGCAAATGTTGATTTATATAATTTTCTCTCTATTATTTCCTTTCACCATTGTTAACGTGACTTATTTTATGACTATCGACATAAATGACAACAATCATATTCTATTGTATAAATTTGTGGTATCATATTATTTTCTTTAATCATTCGTAAGGATATGAGTTAGGTTGGTCCATTGCTAGGAATTAACTTAGTTAATTACTTTATAAAACTTGTATGCTTACATACACTTTATTTTTTTATTGTTACCTAACCATATATCTAGCTATTTTTAAATATCATTTCAAATTATATGCTATACATATTACCTAAACCATGTATGTGGTAATTTAAAAATAGCACGTAATGTTATATAATTTGTCAGTTGACGAATCAATACCAATACATAAATGAATATTATATGGAGAATATAAGACAAGTATAACATTGAAATTTGGAGATGCACTTCTAAGTAATAAGGAGTAATTAATAAAATAATTAGAAGTTATTATATATAGAAAAGGAGAAACCCTGAAATCTTGAGTAACAATGTTGTTGAAGCTGAAAGGAGAAGTGAGGTTTCCAAAATTGAGGATTGGAGAAGAAGAAGCCAATGCTCCAATTGCTACATGTGGGTACTTCAGTCTAAACCAAGCAGCTAGCACTGCAATTAACAACATGACAGAAATTATATTCTTTGAAACCAGAAATTATATTCTTGAATTTATCACAATTTTCAATAATAACTACTCCTTAACTATATTCCTAGATAGTAACAACAACCAGAGGAATAGAGTGTCAAATTACTAACAAACTAACAAAGAAAAAAAAAAAACCTTTCTCTTTCACACATTTTTCCTATTAATTTCAATTTTTTTTATAAATTATAATAAATGATATAATATGAATGTTTTAAAAGTATATAAGGGTCTATTCACTTCAACTTAATTTCAATTCAGCTAAGCTTCAATCAGTTCATCTTAGTTCAGTAAATGTAAACAGACTCTAAGTCCAAACGTTGTATTATTATATAAAAAAAAAAACAGAGGAAGCATTAAGTACTAACTATCTTTCAAGATTAACTATACATAAGTTTTACAGATATAAATTAGAGTTAGTTATTGAGTTAGAATTTAAAATAATAAGCAAGCATGCATTAATATAAATGTATTTTAAACGAACAAAAACAGTACGGAGTATATCGATATGAGATAAGAAATTTAACAAATTAAAGTCGTTAAGTGGTAAGATAAGATGAAAGGATGGACGAAAATAGTTGGATCTAAAAAAAAAAAAAAAAAAGATGTGATTAAAAAAAGAAACATACTTCCTCCATAAGATCCTCCAAAGACTACTACAGGAGACTCAGAAGCAGTGAGATTGTTTTTAAGGTCAAGTATAAGAGTTGCATAATCAGCCAATGCTTGAGTTGAGCTAAGATAGCCTTGTGTAGTTGCATTTTTATACGCAACCTCTTTGTCTCCTCCATATGGTATTGATTTTCCATAGTATCTATGCTACAACCACACCAATAATATATCATTATGATTTTTCATCGATTCAAACTTCATTTCTTTTATCATTTTCTTAAGTTCGCCAGCACATATTGATTATTATTAAAATTTTAATAAATTTTAATTAATAAAATCTATAAAAAATTATTGAATTAAGACAAATTTAGTAACATTTATATAATACGGTGTATATAATAGTTACGTCTTTATATATTTAGTAAAAAAATATTATCAAGTTATATAATCAAAGAAAGCTAGATTAAATAAATGGGTTAATGATTTTATAAAAATAGATGAATACTTCTACAAAATATTAATAATTACTAGTTATACATGTATTTATCAAGCAAACCTTGAAATATAACCACACAAATTGGAAAAAAAAAAAATAGTTATTACATACTAATCTCATCTTCAAGTCATATTTATTTCCTTTCCGAATTCTTGTTTATATTTTACAACTTTACACTTAAAATTTTCTTATATGGAAGAAACATATCATTTATGTTATTAAGACACAATTTTTTATGTACACCTGGATGTATCTATAACATTTGGTTATGTAGATTTTATTTCAAAAGATCCTCACTAACTCCGTAAATCCGTAATAGCGTAAAAAAATATATAGGAAGAAGATTATGTACCTCAATGAAAACAAGAAGAGCATTAAAATGGGGAGCATTCTCATACATAAAACCAGTATTATGCGCAAACCATTCGATATCTCCTTCATTACCCATATAAACAAATATTGGGGCATTCTTTTTAGCTCCACCCCAATATTTTTCATTGATCAAATACCTCTGTTGAAAAGTCTGATAACTTTGTGGATTAAAGTTGAAATGATCAAGTATTTGTGTAAAATACCTTGTTTCATAAGGCTTTGCTTCATCATTAATGTTTGTAATTTGAGCTAGCTGCTCGGGTCGAACGATCGAGGAGGGAAACCTAGGACTAAACTTGGCTAATGCAGGGGAGGATAACAAGAAAAGAAACAGAACAATGCATTGAAAACCCATGAATATGATTAGTATTATAAAATAAACACAAAATAAATTTGAAGGTTTAATTAAGTTATTGGGTTATTTTGTGTGATAAGAAATTAGGTAGAATGAAGAGTTTTGGAGTTGAGTAGAAGAAGAGTAGTAGGAAACTAATTAAAGATCTTTTCTTGAATTTATGTGATTTTATTTAGGAATTGGGAAACACAAAAATTTTAACAAATTATAAGATGAAATTTTTTCTGGGAAATGGTGCCGTTTTTTGTGCAAGAATTATAAGTATTTTATACCGGAGATTCTGGCAGTAGACTAAAATTACCAATTTGGCAACATGGATTTGGCTGGTGTGTTTGTTTTGTGGGACATGTCACCTATGAGTTGAATCTTCTGTATTGTGCCACTCTATCTTATTGGTCAATATTATCGTTTTTAAGGATCATTTTACGGATAATTATTTTTTTAAATTACGACTTTTTCTTGAAATGTGATAAATTTGTATAAAATTAATATTAGGGAAATTTGCAAATTACCACCCACAAAATATGCCTATTTTGACATAACCACCCAAAAAAAAAAAAATTTAAAATACCACCCACTAATTTAAAAAAACACTCAGATGACCACCCATTTAGCAATTCCGGTGGAATTTCCGTCAGTGGGCCCCACTTTTTTATTTTTTATTTTTTTCCTTTTTTTTCTGGCTCTCTCACTCTCTCTCCCCGATTTCACTCTTCTTCTTCCTACCTTCTTCATACACTACAAAACCCCATATGACTATATTTTTCCTTACGTATAAATCACAAAACACGGTCAAAGGAAAGTGTGTAAATAGTGCTAAAGTCAAAACGTGTCAACTATAAAAACAGAAATAGTATTTTTTTTTATTGTAATTGGTAGTTTCTTACAATATTTTTATTTATTTTAATAATTAGTTTTCCACAAAAAATTGCTTTTAAAAGATAGTTTCTGACAAAAAGTCTTTTAACTTTCAATAATAAAAAGTATATAACTTGGGATTATTTCCCCTAGCATCCTAATGGCTACGGAGTAATACATTAATTTTCCAACCAATTTTTAGAAATAATTTAATTTGCTCATAATTCCTTCTTGTACCTAGTTTTTTTTTTTTTTTTTTTTTTTTTTTTTTTTTTTTTTTTTTTTTTTTTGAAATGAAATATAGATACGTAAGTAGGTTGGATAAATTTGTACTATTTCAGTTTTTTTTTTATGAAATTAAGGGCCTGTTCATTTTAGCTTAATTTCAGTTCAGTTCAGTTTAGCTACTAATTTCCTTCTCTCTTAAAATATTCATTTCAGTTCTATTCAGTTCAGTTCAGTTCTATTCAATTCAGCTCAACTTTTCAATCAGTTCAGTTCATCTCTTAATTTCTTTCTCTCAGAAAATATTCATTTCACTTCTATTCAGTTCAGTTCAGTTCAGCTCAACTTTTCAATCAGTTCATTTCAGCTTCTAATTTCCTTCTCTCATAAAATATTCATTTCAATTCTATTCAGTTCAGTTCAGCTCAACTTTTCAATCAGTTCAGTTCAGCTCAGTTAAGTAATTATGAACATGCCCTAAATATAGATTTGTAAGTAGGATATAAACTTGCAACTTTATTGGGGTTTTAATTTTTTTCATATAATTAGAAAATTCACGTATGAAAAGTCTAGATGCATGAATATATAATACTTCATAACTTTCTAGTAGTGCATGAATTTATAATACTTCATAACTTTCTAGTTTCTACTACTCTATTGCGTTAAAACGTCATTCTTTAACCTACTTGGAAAAAATTATCTAATTAAGTGAATTGTATGAAAACATCCTCCTTGACTGTGTCAAGATAGACAAAGTCATTACCTGCTAAGTGAAGAAGTTCATTACATTAATTAACTGCTCTTATTGAAAAACTAAACTATATTAGAGAAGAACGTTTCATGATTAACGACCAATTCTACGTATTTACATACGTCTTTGAACCATATCATAGCTTCCCAAATCTCAACTATAAAAAGGGATCATTTAGCATGCAAATATCACAACTTGAATTTGTAATAAATCTTCACATATATTAAGTGTAATATACCAATTTCATAAGAATATTAGAGATGGAAGCTCGTCATTTTCTTGCCTGCCTTATTTTCTTTGCCATGTCTTCCTACATGGCCTACGCGACAGATCCTACTCAACTACAAGATTTCTGTGTTGCGGTTAATAATCCAAACAAAGAACGTATGTTTTTTGTCCCAATAGATCCCAAATGATTTGAATAATTGTTATTTTCATCATTTAGTACTTTATTTTTCAAATTGATATTAACGGTTTTAACTAATTTGCAGTGTTTGTGAATGGATTATTCTGCAAGAATCCAATGGATGCCAAACCTGAGGATTTCTTTTTCGATGGACTAGACAAGCCAGGATTCACTGGCAACATGTTACGTTCCAATGTCACACTAGTCTCCGCGTTACAGCTTCCAGGGCTCAACACCCTCGGCATATCTTTGGCTAGGATTGACTACGCGCCCTATGGCCTAAACCCTCCTCACACTCATCCACGCGCAAGTGAAATCCTTACCGTTATGGAAGGAACCCTATACGTTGGTTTCGTAACCTCCAACCTTGCAAACGGCGATAACAAGTTGTTCGCTAAGGTGCTTAACAAAGGTGATGTTTTCGTTTTTCCACAAGGCCTCATTCATTTCCAATTTAATGCTGGAAAAACTCCTGCTGTTGCTATTGCCGGATTAAGCAGCCAAAACCCTGGTACGGTCACTATTGCTAAGGCCGTGTTCGGGGCTGAGCCACCTATCTCCGTCGATGTTCTAAGCAAGGCCTTCCAGCTAGATGAATACATGGTAAAGAAGCTCCAATCACAATTTTGGATGAGCACCTAATTCTTCCACGACTTTGGAGTTTGAACTAATTATACAAATTGTTTATGTGGTGTTTGATATGTAGAACACTACAATATATATTTATTTTTTTGCTTATATTTTGATTTGAATAATAACCAAGTGATCGATATGGGCTTGGTTCGTCAACGTTGATTGACATTATGTTATAAATACATCCTACTATGCATGGGATATTATTTTATTTCCTTACTTTTACTTGTTACAAAATTGAATTATTATGGAAAAGTTTAATCATTTACTACTTTTGGTCCTAAAATGAGTGATGAACGCATATATATAATTTAGAGTACTTATACAGAATAGTAAACATGCATTAGTGTATCGAGGTAAAAAAAAAAAATGTCTTAATATAGTAGGAGAGTTATGGAGCTTTTAAAAATTGTTAGAATATGAAACACTTCATATTCTGTGATTATTATTTGTGTAATTATGTAGAGAGACTCTTCATTATACTTGTATATTTGCTATTTATATGGAAGCAATGACATAACATCTCTAAAGGAGATTTACACATTTCTACATGGTATCACAGCCACTAGGAACATTAGGATTTTTTTTCTCCTCAATTTCCTAATACCCTGTTCCTGGGAATCTCACCGTAGCCCCTCCTCTGCCTCCCACCATGGTTGACGGTAATAATGATACTCCACCTCCCCCTCCTCCCCCCTCTTCCCCAGCCTTCCACCCGGCCTATGCTGTCTCCAACATCAAGAATCTCATGCCTATCACCCTTGATCAAGAGGAAAGCCAATATGCCACATGGGTGGAGCTCTTCCGAATTCATGCTTGTGCATTCAACGTTTTGGATCACATAGACACTACCGTCGATCGTCCATCTGACATTGATGACTTCACATGGAAACGTTTGGATGCCATTGTTAAACAATGGATATATGGGACCATTTCAAAGGACCTTGTCAACACAATCATGAAACCCGGCGCCACCGCGCTCGTACTTTGGAAACGTTTGGAGGAACTTTTCTATGATAATAAGCACACTCGTGCTGTCTATTTGGAGGAGCAATTTAACACCATTCGTCTTGAGAATTTCGCGAACATGTCGGAATACACAAGGCAGATCAAGCTTTTGGCGGATCAACTAAGCAACGTCGGCAATCCCGTATCGGAGAGCAAGATGATTTTGCAATTGATCACTGGTTTGCCTAAAGGGGAGTATGACACCGTCGCCGCCATGATACAACAAACTGACCCCCTACCAAGCTTTAACTCAGCCCGCTCACGTTTTCTTTTGGAAGAAACACGAAAATCAAAGCAGGAAGAACATTCCCAGCACGCCTTGGTGGCGCAATCTCCCACCGGCAACTCTTCGGCTTCACCGCAAACCACCATCGAACCACAGAGGACCTCCGGCGGCCGTGGCGGTGGGTCCAACAGCCGCGGCCGAGGTCGTGGGAACCTTCGTGGGGGTAAGATCCGTGGTGGCAGTGTGCGTGGCAAGCCCCAAAGTGCCACACAACACCAACAGCAACACGGGTTCAACCAGCCGCCCAATCCCACATGGGCCAATCAGCAACAAGCCCAACCTCATCAGCAGTGGGCCGGCCCAGTTCAGGGAGGATGGGCATCTCCCCCTTGCCCATATCCCACACAGCCTACTGCGTTTTTCCAGAGACCTCAAGGCTCAATTTTGGGCCCTCGACCGGCCCAACAGGCCTACTTTGCTCCAGTCCAGCAGCAGCAAGGGTATGGACCTCTTATGTATCCCACCGAATTGGGTAAAGCATACAGTTCTATGAGCCTGCAACCTCCTAATGACGGGTGGTATATGTATACGGGAGCTACTTCTCACCTCACTCACAATGCTGGTAATCTTCCTCAACTGTTTAGTTTGAGCACTCCTCAGTTTATTTTAGTTGGTAATGGCAAACGCATTCCTATTCAGGGCTACGGCCACACCTCAACACCACCACCTCAAACCCCTTTTCAACTCAAAAATGTCTTATATGCTCCTAATATTATTAAGAACCTTATTTCTGTTAGGAAATTTACATGTGACAATTCCGTATCTATTGAGTTTTACCCTTTTGGTTTTTCTGTGAAGGACCTTCATTCGGGGACGGTTCTAGCGAGGTGCAATAGTGTAGGGGACCTTTATCCTTTCTCTTCGTCTTCCGCTGCAAGAGAACATGACCATATTTCATTTACTGCTATTTCTCCTTCAACCTGGCACAATAGACTTGGACATCCAGGAGCACCAGTTTTTAATTTTCTTAGGAACAACAATTTTATAAATTGTAATAAGGGCAACAATGCCCATTTTTGCTACTCTTGTCCCTTGGGAAAACTTGCTAGACTTCCTTTTTCAGTCTTCTTTGAGTGAAACTTTTTCTCCCTTTGATCTAATTCATGCTGATCTATGGACTTCTCCTATTGCTAGCAAATTGGGACATAAATATTACTTGGTGTTTCTAGATGATTTTTCTCATTTTCTTTGGATTTATCCAATCAAATATAAATCACAAGTCTACTCTATCTTCCTTCAGTTTAGAGCATATATACACACCCAATTTGAAAAGCATGTTAAAACGTTTCAATCGGATAATGGCCGTGAGTTCAATAATTCCCCCTTCCTTAACTTTTGTGCGGACAATGGCATGTCCTTTCGATTTTCTTGCCCTCATACATCCTCTCAAAATGGTAAGGCCGAGAGAATTATTCGCACAATCAACAACATGGCACGCACTATGCTCTTTCATGCATCTCTTCCACCATCATTTTGGGTATATGCTGTCCACATGGTGGCTTATGTCTTGAATATTCTTCCAACCTCTACCCTTGGCAACAAAACTCCAACCGAAATTCTATATCGTCGAACCCCTTCTTATGCTCATCTACGCACTTTCGGTTGTCTTTGTTACCCAAACTTGTCCGCTCGGCACCCCACAAATTGGCTCCCCGCTCCATTCCATGTGTGTTTTTGGGATACCCTAGCGACTATAGAGGCTATCTTTGTTTTGACCTTTCTTCTAACAAAACAATTATTTCAAGGCATGTAACATTTCAAGAACACATAATTCCCTTCTCTGACATTAAGAAGTTCCAAAATTTGGATTATGATTTCTTAAAAGAGGATACTCTCAACATCCCTCCTCTTCTCCTTGCTGATCCAACCTTTTCGGCCCAGCAAACTCCACAACCGGCCCAACATCACAGCCCGCCCCACTTTCCTGCTGCACCCGGGCAGAATAGCCCACGGGCTGACCGTGGGTCAGTGCAGCCTGACACGGCCAGCACGCGGGCTACCCATGCCGCAGGCCCAACCCCCCCGTCCAGCCCAAATCCCACTGGCCCAAACCAAACTCCTTCTTCTCCAATATCTCACTTTCTCTAGACCCGACATTGCCTATGCCGTGCAACAAATCTGTTTGTTTATGCATGCTCCCCGGGAACCTCACTTCAATGCGTTGAAGCGCATTATTCGGTACATTCAGGGTAATCTTGATCTTGGTCTTCATCTATATCGCTCTGCACCTTCTGGTTTGATCTCCTACACTGACGCCGATTGGGGCGGTTGTCCGGATACTCGCAGATCTACTTCTGGATACTGCGTATATTTAGGAGATAATCTTATTCCATGGTCTGCTAAACGACAAGCTACATTGTCAAAATCTAGTGCAGAAGCGGAATATCGAGGCGTCGCTAATGTAGTAGCCGAGACTTGTTGGCTCCGGAATCTACTTCTGGAGCTCCATTGCCCTCTACGACGTGCAACCTTGGTTTATTGTGATAATGTGTCCGCCGTATACTTGTCTTGTAATCCCGTTCAGCACCAGCGCACCAAACACATCGAAATGGATATTCATTTCGTACGCGAGAAGGTGGCTATGGGTCATATTCGGGTTCTCCATGTCCCGTCTTCCTATCAGTATGCGGACATTTTCACTAAAGGTTTACCTCGGCAAATTTTTCTTGACTTCAGATCCAGTCTCAGCGTACGGCCTCCTCCCGCTTCGACTGCGGGGGTGTGTTAGAATATGAAACACTTCATATTCTGTGATTATTATTTGTGTAATTATGTAGAGAGACTCTTCATTATACTTGTATATTTGCTATTTATATTGAAGCAATGACATGTCTCAAGGAGATTTACACATTTCTACAAAAATAAAATAAGAAGAGTTCAAGTAGTGGATAAGAAATAGAGCATAATTCCCAAATTAAATAACAAATACATTCAAAGTCCAAGTCTTAACATCTGTGATTGGGCGTCAATGTTGATTTGGAGATTTTGTGGAAGACATTCGATCTGTTTTTTTTTTTTTTTTTTTTTGGGTTGCAAAACTTTCTTTTCACTTGTTGACTTCTTGTTCCTAATGTTAAATTGTTAATTAATTAGATACTTCTTCCGTTCCATAATATACGACACGTTTCTTTTATCGCATTTGTCAATGTAAAAGTTTAATAAAAAATCACTACTAGAAAACAGGTAAATTGCGACGGAAATTTTTCGTCGGAAACACCCTACACTACAACAAAACAGGCAAATAGCGGCGGACTAGTTGCGACGAACACTTTATTCCATCGGAAAAGTGAAAATTTCCGACGGATTTTTATTCCGTCGAATATTCCGACGAAGTCAATAATTCTGTCGGAAATTTTCGACGGAATATAAATCTGTCGAAATATCTGTGCTTTCCGACGAATTTTTCCGTCGGAACTTACATTTTCCGACAGATAATTATTCCGTCGGAAATTTTCGACGAATTTTCGACGGAATATAATTTTTTTATATTTTAAAAAAAAGACCCTTAAGAAAACCCTAAATCCTACTCTTCCGCCCCTTCTCCCTTTGTCTTTCCTCTTTCCCCTTCTCTCTCCTCTCTCCTCTCCTTCTCTATTCGTTCTCTGCTCTCTCCTCTTCTTTCTTCTTCTCTTTCCTCTTCGTTCTCCATCCCCGTTCTCCTTCTCCTTTCGTTCTCCGATCCTTCCCCCTTCTTTATCCTCTTCTTTCCCCTCTTTATCTCCCACCACCACCGCCAACTCTAACCAACGTCGCACCACCAGCACCGACATTAACAACAACACCAACATCAACAACAACACCAACATCGACTACGAATCAACAACAATTTCCTCCAATTTCGCCCTTTCTCTCTCCTCATGAAGAAAACAAATAAAGGTTTTTAGGCCAATTCGACCACAAAAACTCTAGATCTAGAGTTTTTGTGGTCGAATTTGGCCTCCTAAACCCAATTTCAAGGTTTTATTATGTCGAATTAAGGTATGTGTAATTTATTTTGATTTTTTTTTGTTGTTTTATCAGATTTTTTTTGAATTTTGGTGTTTGAATTTTGGGGGTTAGGTCGGGATTCTATTTTTTTTTTAATTTTTGGGTTGTGGTTGGCTTGTTTCGGTGGCGGTAGTGGCGGTTTTAGGTGGGTGGTTGATTGTAGTTCGGCAGAAGTGGTGGTTTTAGGTGGGTTTCGGCGGCAGTGGTAGTTTTAGGTGGGTGGTGGTTAGGGTTATAGATCTTGGTTTATTTGGGTGGTAAATTTGTATTTAGGTGGGTTAGGGTTAGGTGGGTAGGGGTTATGGTATAGGTTTTGGTGGTTGGGTAGTGGGTGGTGGTGCCGGCTGGTGGTGCGATTTAGGTGGGTGGTGGTGCAGGCTGGTGGTGCGATATAGGTGGGGGTGGGAGACAGTTTTTTTTTGTTTTTTAAAAAAGCATTTTCCGACGGAATTTCCGTCGAAGATTTCCGGCGGAATACAGTTCGTCGGAAATTTCCGACGGACTTTCCCGACCGTGGAATTCACTTCCGGCGGACAGAATTTCGTCGGAAAACACGTTTCCGACAGAAATTCCGTCGGAAAAGGCCCTTTTTCCGACAAGATGTATTGCGACAACCAGTTCCGACAAAAATTACGTCGGAAATCAGTTTTCCGCCGGAAAACAAGGTGTTTCCGATGGGGATTTTCCGTCGTAATTCGCCTGTTTTCTTGTAGTGCTATTTTCCGTCGGAAAACCCATTTCCAACGGAAATTCCGTCGCAACCGGTTGTCGCAATAGTTGTTGTCGGAGAATCACCCTTTTCCGACGGAATATCCGTCGGAAGCACTTTTTCCGACGGAATTCAGTCCGTTGGAAGTGATTTATGGCCCGGCAAAGTCCGTCGGAAAATTCCGACAAACTGAATTCCGTCGTGAATTTCCGACGGAATTTCTGTCGGAAATTGCTTTTAAAGAAACAAAAAATAAGCACACCGCCACCCCGTACCACCGCAAGCCGTCATCCCACACCACCTACCCCCACCTCACACAACCAGCCAAACCCTTACGAGACCCACACCCAACCCCACCAATCGTATCACTAGCCCACACCAGAACCCCTACCCACCAACCACCTAACCAGATCTATCACCCCACCACCCACCTAAATCACCACCGCCACAACCACCTATCTAGCCAGATCTACCCATCTACAACCACCACCGCCACAGCCACCTACCTAACTAGATCTACCACCCCACCACCCACCTCAATCACCACCGCCACCACCGAAAAACATCACAACCTAGAAATTAACAAAAAAATAAAGAAAAAAAATTAAAATCCCAACCCAAGCCCCTAAACACGATCTCCAACAGCCACCACCCACAACCACCATAAATTGTAAAAAAAAAATCCGATAAAACAACAAGATAACATCAAAATTGAAAAAAATAGATACATACCTTAATTCAACCACACATAACTTCGAAAGTGGGTTTAAGAGGTCAAATTCGACCATGAAAACTATAGATCTAGAGTTTTCATGGTCGAATTTGACCTAAAAACCTTTGATTTCATCAGCATGAGAAGAGAGAGAAAGGGCGAAATAAGATAACCCCTAACCTTTGTTTTTGTTATTATCGGTGATTACTTGTTAAGGTCGGTGTTAATGTTGCCGTGGTGGTGGTAAAAGAGGGGAAAGTAGAGAAGATAAAGAGAGGAGAACGAGAGGAAAGAGAAACAAAGGAGAACGAGAGAAAAGGCGAACGAGAGAGGAGGAGAGGAGATACAGAGAGAAGGACATAGAGGGAGAAGAAGAGAGAGGAGAACGAGAGGAGAGAGAATAGGAAAGACATAAAGAGGCGGATGCTTTTAGGATTTTTTTGGAGGTAAATGTGTTTTATTTTTTACAAATTATAGTAAAAATTCGTTTGGCTATTTCATTTGCCTTTTGAACCTTCAAAATAATGCAATCTTTAAACTTCATCCATACCAGTTGATCTCTTGTATATTACAAATTATAGTAATGTCCAAATAAAGGAGTTGGCTTTTAAGGGAATGAATTTGGTTTCAATTGAGTGTTGCTTTTAAGGGAATGAATTTGGTTTCAAT